CACTGCTGAGGGGAGCAGCGGGCGGGTCAGGAGAGGTCTGCCACGCCATGTGGTCACCTCCGGGGCAGGGATCAAACTCATGCTGCAGTGGCTTTAGCTTCTTAGTGCTGTGCTTTAACTCGCTGCGCCACAGGGAGGAACCAGAACTCATTTTTAAAAGACTCTTGGGGAGAGAGACCCCTTGGAGACTTTAGGGACCTTCCCCGGAAACACGCCCACCCAGTTGCACACACATTCATTTTCACCAGCACCCTCACACAAACATTTCCCGTACTGAGGGGCTCCCAGGCTCCCCTCAGGCCCGGGGGTCCCCAGCGAAGGACTTTGATCCAAGGTGACTTGCTGACTGTGGGTGACCAGGGGCCTGGGAGGCAGGGAGCTTGCCCTGGTCACACAGCTTATAACAGGTGGGGACCTGGGGGGCGCTCCCTGCCAGGGAGGTGGCCTATCAGGACCTGTCTCACCCCAGAGAAGACGGAGGCCTGGACAGGCAAGTGCAGGTCCGGCCAGTAGAGTAGAGCCGAGACAAGACCCTTGCCTGCCATGTGAATTCCTTCGGATGAAGGCAAATCGCGGGGTTCGTCCCTCGTCACTCCGACCGTGTTTCAGGAGCTCGGCGGCTCGGCCCGTGGCACTCACGCTGGGCGGAGCAAGCACGAGCTTCCCGCTCGGCAGAGCCAGTGTCCGGCAAGTGACCGCTCGGCCGGGGCTGACGCGGCCCGGCATGGAGGGCCCGGCCGAGCGGGCTGCCCCAAGTGCTCCCCTCGCCTCTGGTCCTGCCTCACAGCTGGGGGCTTCTGCCAGCTGAAGCCTCGCCCGCCTCTAAAGTGGGCACCTCCGGCCTCTGATGGCCGCGCCTTGGCAGATGCTGCTGATCCGCCCACCTCCCAGGGACACTTTCCGGAGGGCGAGAAAGGGGGAGGACAGGCGGAAGGGAGAGGGGGAGGAAGATGGGAACAAATGTTTTCTTTAACCTGAGAAACTTAGCAAGGCAACAACACTTGGAGGCAGAGATTCGAAGCATCTGGGTAGCTAGGGGGGCCCTGCTGAGTTTTAGGGTGTCGGGAGGCTCGGGTCCTAGTCCTGGGTCTGCCCCGGGACCCCCGGTGACCTCAGGCATGTCCTGGCCTCTCTAAGCTTTGGGGACTTCAGCAATCATCTTGTCTGGGGGCTGATGAGCAGGTGACAGGACCGGGCTGCTCACCTGGGGGACGGCGGGGGCAGTGAGCAGCAGGGCTCACCCATGTTCCCACTTACAGAAGAGGAGCTGGAGGCCCAGGGAGGCTGCATGACCTGGGGAGCAGCCGCGAGGAGGTGGAGGGAGAAGAGAGGTGATGCCTGCATGTGACAAGTGCCTGGGGGGCCCTGAGGTTCCTGGCTGTAATGTGTGTTGGGGCCCAGAGAATCTAACTATCCCAGGGAGGCTCCAGCCCAGGGCTCCGGACTCAGGTGACTTGGTTGCTGCAGCATTTCCACTGCTTAGTAGCTGTGTGGCTTTGGAAAAGTTACTTTACTTCTCTGAGCCCAATTCCTTCATCTGCAGAGAGGTGTACTAATAGCACAGACTGTTGATAGCGCTGTCCTGAAGATCCAATGCGTTTATATGCGTAAAGGAAGGTGCCCAGCAAGCCTGTTATTATTAGCTATTGTTATTGTTACTGCTCAGGTGTTTTGCTGCTGGCCACCCACTGCCTCCTCATAGTCGGCCGCCTGCCCCGCCCCAGGACATCACGTCTACCACTAAGCGTTCAGCCCCAAGGAAGCCTCGGGGAAGCCTGGCTGTGATAATTATGATTAAAGGTCTGGGGTGTTTGGGGCTAGGTGGGTTGAAGAGTGCTGCTCCTCTGGAGGCGAGAATCTGCTCCCTGCCTCTGAGCGGGGCTGAGTCTTGGGGATCCCAGCCACGGGCTGCCGCCCTCCCCAACACCTGGGTGAGGAAGGACAGTCAGAGGGACAGGTGGGGACGTTGAGCTGTGGTTAACGTCTTCCTTGTTCTGGTATTTTGGGCACTGGTGGGACCCAGGTGCCAGGCTCTGACACACCAGGGGTGTGACCGCCCTTCCCCTGGGCTCCTGCCAGCCCAGCTGAGGCTCACGGAAGCCAGCGCGCTCTAGTGGCCCCCGAGAGAGCGCGGCCCTGGTCTTGCAGGGTCTCCTGTCCGCCCCGGGGTCACGGCGGTGCATGCGTGTCGTGCGTGTCGGCTGGTGTGCGTGTTGGCTGCTCCCCGTGGACTTTTGCTGCAGCCCGTGCCGTCGAGCACACAGTAGCTGGCTGCCCTGGGCACGCTGCCTTCTGCCAGCCAGTGTGTGGGGTGGAGACACCCAGGCGTAGAGAACTCTGGGGATGCTGGCTCCTGCCCAGGGCTCGGGGCTGGAGTCAGTGCAGAGCCCTGGGCGCCAGGTGACGGTCAGCAGCTAACAGTGACCTCGGCCCTTGCAGTTCAGAGTTGGGGCTCGGCCCAGCAACATGACGCCCCTCGGGAGCTTGTGAGAAATGCAGACTCTCAGCTCCACCCAAACCCCCTGAATCCAGATCTTGAGGTGGTTCAGTCAAGGTCAAGGGACCTTGCTTACTGGTACTAATGTTCTGGAACTAACGCGGAACACCGGCCTCAGGCAGATGCTGGGCTAAGTGCTTTTACAGATATTGACTCATTTAATTCTCACAACAGCCGGAGACGCTGGCACTGTCCATAGCCCCGTTTTACAGACGAGGAAACGGGTGAGGTGGAGGAATTTGCCGAGGTCACACAGCCGGTGAGGGCTCAGCCTGGGTATTTGGGGTCCGCCGTAACCATCACACACCTGCCCTCACAGGATGGCTGCATCTGTGAGGAATTTTGGAAGCGGATGCTTCCGGGACAGTTTGGTGGCTCAGCGATGCCATTAAGGACCCCAGGTGCCTCCATCTGTCCCCTGCAGGCCTCTGCATGTTGGACCAGTTCTGGTTGGTCCCCTGGGACTGGAGAAGGGTTTTGTTTCCTTGGAATCTTCTCTGTCCAAAAATTGAGGCTCTAGGTACTAAGATGAAAGGATACACAGCTGTGGGCCTGGAACCTAACCTGAGTCTCAGCCCTCGGCGCAGGTTTCACCTGCCCCAGAAGGTGGGGACCCGGGCCCCCAGAGAACAGACTTCTAGAACAGCACCTCTCCTGACCCCTCCACGCTGCGATGTTCCTGGTGCCCCCTGCTCTAGTCGGGGGCCCCAGAGCCAGATCTGAGATAGTGCCTTGAAGCTAGTTCCCTCAGGAGGTCATTCCAGAGAACCGTGGCACAGGCCCACGTGAGGAAGACGGGGCGGGGCAGTGGCTGTAACTTGCCACTTTGGGTGACTGGATCTTAGTCCTGACGGGGACTCTGGGAGCCAGTTGGGAACCGCCTGGCCATCGCCTCCCCGAGGGGAGGGAGCCGAGGGACTTACAGCCTGACTCTTCTCAGCTGCTGACTGAACCCTTCTGCTCATCCTGCCACACAGTGGGCTCCGGAGGCCAGAGAAATGCCTCAGGGGCCAGGAGACTAAGGACTGTAGGCGCTGGCAGAAGCCAGGGCACCGACGTGGTAAGCGGCAGACATGTGGGGGACAGCAGAGCCTGCTACGCTGGCCGAGTGCACAACCCCAGACCAGAAACCTGGCGCTCTGCCGACGCACTCCTCCCCTCCCTCCGCACCCAGTTGGAATGTACCACTTCGCTCCTATCTCTGACTCCAACTGCTTCTCTCCAGTTCCACCTCCTGGGGAGGCCGCTGATGCCTGGATGCCTGCACATCTCCTCTTTGGCCTGAGTTCCCTAGTCCATCACTCAACACGTAGTCCTCTGACCTCCGCCCGCCACTCTGTCTCCGCCCACACGCACCCCCCCTGGGGACTACCTGAACCTCCCCCTTGCCCACATTACTCCCTCTACCTGCCTCCCCCAACCCCTGCTCCCTCTTCACCCTCTGATTCATGCCTCCTCCAGATCTCAGCTAAGAACTGGCACATAAGCTTTATCTCATGTGCCAACTCCGGTTAATTGATAGTGACTCCCTGGAGTGCTGTGTTGAGGAGGAGTCTGGAGCCGGGTCTG